TGCATCAGCCTCCTGAGTAGCTGGAATTACAGATGCCCACCACTTTGCCTGCCTAATTTTTTGTATTTTTAGTAGAGATAGGGTTTAACCGTGTTGGCCAGGCTGCTCTTTAACTCCTGACCTCAGGTGATCCACGCACCTCAGCTTCCCAAAGTGCTGGGATTACAGGCATGAGCCACTGTGCCCGGCCCTGTGGTTTTAATTGAGCACTTTATGAGATTAGGTTTCTCTTTTCTTAGCATATCAATTATACTTTTTTTTTCACTTTTTTAGTGGTTACCCTAGAGTTTGCAATCTACATTTACAAGCAGTCCAAGACTGCTTTTAAATAGCACAATAACAACACTACCACTTCATAGATTGTACAGTACCTTATGATAACGAAGTATTCCTAATTCCATCTGCCTGTCTGTTGTATTTTCAGTTCACACATACATTGCTGTCCTTCACTTCTTCTTCTTTTTTTTTTTTTTTGAGATGGAGTTATGCTCTGTTGCCCAGACTGAAGTGCAGTGGCATGATCTTGGCTCACTGAAACCTCTGCCGCCTGGGTTCAAGTGATTCTTGTGCCTTAGCCTCCCCAGTAGCTGGGATTACAGGCACATGCCACCGTGCTCTGCTAATTTTTGTGTTTTTTGTAGAGATGGGGTTTTACCATGTTGGCCAGGCTGGTCTTGAACTCCTGACCTCCAGTGATCCCCCTGCCTTGGCCTCCTAAAGTGCTGGGATTATAGGTATGAGCCACCATACCTGGCCCAAAAGTTTTTAATTTGATGAAGCCCAGTTTATCAATTTTTTCTTTTCTGGGTTGTGCTTTTTTTTTTTTTTTTTAGTTGAAATCGCCATGTGGTGCCACCACACCTGGCTAATTAAAATACATTTTTTTTTTTTTTTAAAGACGGTATTGCTATGTTGCCCAGGCTGGTGTCTAACCCCTGCCCTCAAGCGATCCTCCTGCCTCAGCCTCCTGAGTTGCTGTGATTACAGGCATGATCTACTGCATCTGGCCAGAAAATATTTTATTTTTAATCAAAGTAGTATATGGACACAATTTTGAAAAGTCAACTAATATGACAGACTTAATGTAAAAAACTGCTCTACCACCCTCCCCACTCCAGAGTCCTTTTCCACAGGGGTGGCCACTTTCTTTTTCTTTTTCTTTTTTTTTTTGAGACAGAGCTGTGCTCTTGTTGCCCAGGCTGGAGTACAGTGGTGCAATCTCGGCTCACTGCAACCTCCACCTCCCGGGTTCAAGTGATTCTCCTGTCTCAGCCTTCCAAGTAGCTGGGATTACAGGCACCGGCCGCTACACCCAGCTAATTTTTGTATTTTTAATAGAAACGGGGTTTCGTCATGTTGGTCAGGCTGGTCTCAAACTCCTGACCTCAGGTGATCCACCCGCCTCGGCCTCCCAAAATGCTGGAATTACAGACGTGAGCCACTGCACCTGGCCACCACTTTAAAATCTATAAGCTGTTGCTTTGTGCTATTTACCTCCTTATTTATTTATTTAACTTGAGACAGAGTTTCACTCTGTCACCCAGGCTGGATTGCAGTGGCACAATCCCGGCTTACTGCAATCTCCACCTCCTGGGTTCAAGTGATTCTCGTGCCTCAGCCTCCTGAGGAGCTGGGATTATGGGCATACTCCAACATGCCTGGCTAATTTTTGTATTTTTAGTAGAGATGGGTTTTCACTGTGTTGGCCAGGTTAGTCTTGAACTTCTGGCCTTAAATGGTCCACCTACATTGGCCTTCCAAAATGTTGGGATTACACCACACCTGGCCCTGCTTCCTTATTTATAACTAATACATTTTTACTGTTTTTTGATTTACTAACTTTACATATTTTCTATTGAGCACTACCTATTATGGAAGATGAAGGTTTAGCAGTCATAGACCACCAATCCTGCTTCTTTTTCCGGAATCTTTTGAGAGTTAACTCACAATTTTTGGTTAAATATTTAGTATTTATATCATAGTGATTATATAAATACTGATTACTGTTGAATTTAGTCATATACTATGATTACATGACCTTTCTTAAGTAATTTCTGTTTTTCCCAAAGTATGTAGTCTATACAAAATTATTTACTTTATTCTCCATAAAACTATTATTCATTGCTTCCAAATTCTCCTACAGTGTTGTAACATTCCACAGAGTAAGGTTAGACACATCAAGTGAACTGTCAGTTCTATGCTTTCTTCTCCTGGAGATCCGCGAGCTGTTTTGACTCTTGTCCCAGCCTGCTGCGTGGCTGTGATTCTCTATACCACTGCCCTGTGTTGGATCCCTTGTTTCTTGAATTTCTTCTTTTTTCTCGGCTTACTCCCTCATGTGGAAGGAGTACATCTTGTAGCTTCCTTGTAGGTTCCTGGGAGGCCTTTTGAATCTTGGCAAATCAGAAAATGTTTTTATTCTACTTTCAAACTTAATTGATAGCTTGAAAAGCTATAGATTTCTGGTTAAATTATTTCCTTTTGGCCAGGCTCAGTGGCTCATGCCTGTAATCTCAGCACTTTGGGAAGCCAAGGCAGGAGGATTGGTTGAAGCCAAGGCAGAAGGAGTTCGAGACCAGCCTGGGCAACACAGTAAGACCCCATCTTTACCAAATAAAAAATATTAGCTGGGATTTGGTGGCATGTACCTGTAGTTTCAGCTACTTAGGAGGGTGAGGTGTGAGGATCTCTTGAGCCCAGGAGTTTGAGGTTACAATGAGCTATAATCATGTCATTGTACTCCAGCATTGTACTCAGCAACAGAGTGAGGCCCTGTCTCTTCAAAACAGAGCAAAACAAAAAACTGTTTTAATACTAGTGCTAGCTATGAATAAATCCATAATATTTTTTGCGAGTTTTAAAGTCTTATAAATGACAGCATACCATATCTATTAGGTAGCCTGCTTTTTTAAAAAAACATTTTATATTTTTGAGATGTATCCATTTAGCTCTGTTTCATTCATTTTCACTAGTGTATTATGTCCCCTTATAATTTTGATAGCTTAAAATACTATTGTAAGTTAGGAATTTATATATTTCAGAGTTTTTTTTTCTTTTTCTTTTTCTTTGAGATGGCGTCTTGCTCTTGTTGCCCAGGCTGGAGTGTGCAATGTGTGTGATCTTGGCTCACTGCAACCTCTGTCTCCTGGGTTCAAGTGATTCTCCTGCCTCAGCCTCCCTTGTAGCTGGGATTACAGGCATGCGCCACCACGCCAGACTAATTTTGTATTTTGAGTAGACGGGGTTTCTACATGTTGGTCAGGCTGGTCTTGAACTCCGGACCTCAGGTGATCTGCCTGCCTCGGCCTCCCACAGTGCTAGGATTACAGGCGTGAGCCACCGCGCCTGGCCTTCAGGGTATTTCTTTTATAGCATTTTCTAATTGGGCAGCCCTACTTTTAAGAAATTAAACCTTATGATTAGCTGGCTTAATATAGAGGCTTAATTGAAGCTGAATTATTATTCATTTGAAGTTGAATTGAGTTATTGGGGCCCCTGTCCCCTTGCAGGAAGGATGAAAGTGGTGGCTGGCCTCAGGTTCAGGGGCAGGTGATGAGGAACCAGATCAGTATTTCTCTCTCAGATTCGGAAGACCCGGCTGTCCATGTGCATCATCGGGGAAGCCTCTTGCTCTCCGAATAAGCAGCTCAATCCAGCTTCCAAATTCTGACCATGGCTTAAGTGCCTTTGTGGAATGAGGAGGGACATGAGGAAGAAAGTGAGTCACTAATGTACATTCTCACCTGAGCTGAGCCACCTTTGGTCCCTGAGCCCATGTAGTTTCCTTTCGTTGTGATTATAATTTTAAAATAGTATAATTTATTATTTACCTTATCACCATTTTGTTATTCAATGGGAGACCTTTTCTGAACAAATCAAGATAAAACATGATCTAGAAGTGTGTTAAATGTGATTTAAGGAAGACAGTGATTCATATTTGTAACTAAACTATTAGTTTTCTTCCCTTAGTGACTGAGAACAACCAATACTGACTTTTGAAGAGCCTCGTGGATACTAATTATTTATTCACTCGCTTGTTCTTTCAACATACTATTTAGGGAATTTTTTACATGCTAGTCTAGACAGTGGGCATAGAAAGATGAATAAAATAATTCCTGTCATAAAAATGTGCATGGTTTAGGAGAAGAGGCATATCAACAAAAACTACGTATATGCCCTATGGCAGAATGAGAGAAACATTAAATGTGATTCCTTTGTAACTGGGATCTCTTTCACTTGAAGTGGGTAATTCAGGTTTGTCCCCATGACCCCCATAAGTAGGGGCAGCACGTGGTAATTACTTGAGCTATATTCCCTTCCTTGTACATTCAAGCCATCCAGATTTCTGTATTTCTTTGTCACCATTGTTTTGGTTGTAAAACAGCTTCATTTTCAGACTAATTATAAGTTAGATTATTATGATTTTGCTTTGAGACATTTTCTTGGGTAGAGATGTGCCCATCCTAAGATACATAGTACAAGTACCATATAGATTTGGATTTTTGTGTTTGTATTGGCTAAGACAGGTGTTAGCTCCATATTTATTTTTCTTTTTTTTTTTTTTCCTGAGATGGAGTCTTGCTCTGTTGCCAGGCTGGAGTGCAGTGGCACGATCTTGGCTTACTGCAACCTCTGCCTCGTGGGTTCGTGTGATTCTCCTGTCTCAGCCTCCCGAGTAGCTGGGACTACAGGTGTGTGCCACCATGCCCAGCTGATTTTTGTATTTTTAGTAGAGATGGAGTTTCACCATGTTGGCCGGATGGTCTCAATCTCTTGACCTCGTGATCTGCCCGCCTCGGCCTCCCAAAGTGTTGGAATTACAGGCGTGAGCCACCATGCCTGGCCTAGCCCCATGTTTCTTGTACCTTTGTATCTGATGTCTAGTATATTTATAAATACAGAAAGATGTGATTTTCTTTAGTAAGTTTACAGTTTTTTTATAGGTAGACAATGATGACTTTTGAACAAGTTTAAAGTTTTTTTATTTTTATTTTTTATAGGTTGTCTTGTGGAAATGCAGGTTTAAGGACAAGTTATCTGCTTAAGGAAGAAGATGGGATCAAATAGCAGCAGAATCGGCGATCTTCCTAAAAATGAATACTTGAAAAAGTTATCAGGCACGGAATCTGTCTCTGAGAATGACCCGTTCTGGAATCAGCTTCTCTCGTTTTCTTTCCCTGCACCAACTAGCAGGTAAGAGATTGCCTGGAGATTGAAAATTTGGATAACGGGCCATATCAACTTGTGTGGTATGCGGATTAAAAAAAAAATTTAGAAATGTTCTGTCTGTCTGGTCTGTCATACATAAATCGGTAGAAAATCCAAAAGATTTGAAAGTAGAAAATAAGCTTTTCTCTTCTTTTTACCCCACTCACTAGCCACCTCCCTTCTCTAGAGGTGAGCACTGGTGGCAGTTGATTTTGAATCATTCTAGAGATAGTATAGGTTACTTAAGCATATATCCCATATAGTTTCACAAAATTGTTTAAATACAAATGGTAGCATACTACATGTCCTGTTCTGTCCCTTGCCTTTTTTCCCACAGTTAAGTAAAATATATCTTGTATATGTAGCACATATGCAACTGCCTTATTCTTTTTAATGACTGTGGAGTATCTGTAGAATATATTTAATTGGTTTTCTGTTGATGAACATTTAGATTATTTCCAGTCTTTGTTATAACAGTTATTGCCACATACATCATTTCTTATACACACAAATATATCTTTAGTATAAATTCCTTGAAGTACAATTCCTGGGTCAAAGTGTATGTGCATTTGCAATTTGGTAGCTATGCCAAGTTGTGCTCCATGGAAGTTGTAGGAATTTACACACCTACCAGCAATGCATGAGAGGTATGTTTCGCCATATCTTTGTCTGTTTGATGCATTTTTAGACCTTTGACCTTTGCCAGTTTTGGAGGTGAAAAACAATATATCATTTTTAATTATATTACAAAAACTGATAGACAATAATGTAGAATGACTAGAATATTGAATTCCCATACACTCAATAACTAGATTTTAAAAAATTTTATTTACTTTTTAAGAGCTTTATTATGATAGGCAGAATAGTAGCCCCCGAAAGATGTCCATATCTTTGTCTGCAGAATCTGAATATGTTACATTACATGGCAAAGGGGAATTCAAGTAGCAAATGGCATTAAGGTTATTAATCAGCTGACCTTGAAATAGGGAGATTATCCTGGATTATCTGGGCAGGGCCAATGTAATCACAAGGCTTCTTGAAAGTGGAAGAGGGAGGTGGAAGAGAAAGTCAGATGTGATGTGAGGAGGACTCAGCCTGCCCTTGCTGGCTTTGAAGATGGTAGGGGGTCATGAGCAAGAAATGTGAGCAGCTTTGCCGGGCGCGGTGGCTCGCGCCTGTAATCCCAGCCCTTTAGGAGGCCGAGGCGGGTGGATCACGAGGTCAGGAGATCAAGACCATCCTGGGTAACACGGTGAAACCCTGTCTCTACTAAAAATGCAAAAAGTTAGCTGGGCATAGTGGCGGGCGCCTGTAGTCCCAGCTACTCTGGAGGCTGAGGCAGGAGAGTGGTGTGAAACCCGGAGGCAGAGCTTGCAGTGAGCTGAGATCACGCCACTGTACTCCAGCCTGGGTGACAGAGCGAGACTCTGTCTCAAAAGAAAAAAAAAAAAAGAAATGTGAGCAGCTTCCAGAAGCTGGCAGAGGCAAGAATGCAGATTTCCCTCTGGAGCCTCGGGAAAGGAATGCAGCTTTATTGACATCTGGATCTTAGCTCATTGAGTGTCAGACTTCTGACCTACAGAACTGTAAGATAATAAATTTATGTTGTTTGCACTACTAAATTTTGATAACTTTTATAGTAGCAATAGGAAAATAATACACTTTTTGAGGTATGTTTCATATATCATGTAATTCACCCATTTAAAGTGTATTATTCAGTGTTTTTATTCACATAATTGTGTAACAATCACCAATTTTAGAACATTATAATCCCAGAAAGGAGCCCTATCCCATGCCCATTAGCAGACATTCCCCCAAACTCTAGATTGCACTAGCAACCACTTATTTATTTATTTATTTATTTATTTATTTATTTTGAGAGGGAGTCTCAGTCTGCTGGAGTGCAGTGGCACGATCTCTGCTCACTGCAAACTCTGCCTCCTGGATTCAAACAATTCTCCTGCCTCAGCCTCCCGAGTAACTGGGCTTACAGTTGCATGCCACCACACCTGGCTAATTTCTGTATTTTTTGTGGAGATGAGGTTTCACCATGTTGGCCAGGCTGGTCTCGAACTCCTGACCTCAAGTGATTCACCTTCCTCAGCCTCCCAAAGTGCTGGGATTATAGGTGTGAGCCACGGCGTCAAGCCACTAATTTAATAACAACTACTACTATCTTTGCCTCTTCTAGACGTTTCATGTAAATGGAATTGTAACAATAAGGGGTCTTTTGTGACTGACTTCTTTTTTTTTTCTTCTACTTTTTTAGAGATGGGGTCTTGCTCTGTTACCTAGGCTGGTCTTAAACTCCTGGGTTCAAGCAATCCTCAGCACCCCAAAGTGCTGGGATTACAAGCGTGAGCCACTGCACCCACTGTGACTGGCTTGCTTCACTGAGTGTAATATTCATACATGTTGTTGCATGCACCAGTACTTGCATTCCTTTTTTTTGTTTTGTTTTGTTTTGGTTTTTTTTTTTTTTTTTTGAGACGGAGTCTCGCTCTGCCGCCCAGGCTGGAGTGCAGTGGCTGGATCTCAGCTCACTGCAGGCTCGCCTCCCGGGTTCACGCATTCTCCTGCCTCAGCTCCCAGTGCTGGGACTACAGGCCCGCCACCCGCGCTAGTTTTTTTTTTTTTTATTTCTGAGCCAGATGTCTCACTCCTACCGTGATCCCCGCTCGGCTCCAAGTGCTGGGATTACAGGCGAGCCACCCCCCGGCCTTTAGAAGGTCTCACTCTGCCCGGGTTGCAGTGGTGCGATCGTAGCTCCCTATAGCCTTGAACTCCTGGACTCAAGTGATCCTTCCACTTCACCTTCCCGAGTAACTGGGACCACAGGCATGCACCACCATGCCTGGTCTTGAACACCTGGCCTCAAGTGATCCTCCTTCCTCTGCCTCTGAAAGTGTTGGGATTACAAGCATGAGCCACTGCACCCAGCCTCCGTTCCTTTTTATTGCTGAGTGATACTCCATTGTATGGATATACTGCATTTTGTTTGTCCATTCAGAAATTAATAGACATTTGGATTGTTTCCATATTTTGTTCATTATTGTTTTTTAAGTATCTTAAAGTCTTTTTTTACATAACCATAATACCATTATCACACCTAACAAAATTAACAATAATTCCTGCTACCCAGTTCATATTTAAAATTTTCCAGTTGTTTTATAGTTTATTACAATTAGGAGCCAAATAAGGTGCATATGTTGCATCTGATGGTTCTTGTTCTTAAATGTCTTTTAAAGTAGAATATAGGTATCCACTTCCCACCTTGCCACTATTTTTTGCTTCATGTCATTTTTAAAACAAATTGTGTCAGTTTTTCTGTAGAATGTTCCATCTTCTCTATCTGATTGCTTTTCACACCTTGTAACTTGTTCTTTTGTTCTGTGTATTTCCTGTAAATTGGAAATGAGATTTAAAAGCTTGATAAAATTTAGGTTAATCATTTTTGGTAAGGTTTTCCATATGTAGAAAAAGTGTGTTTTATACCAATTATCATACTAAGATTGATCAGAGTTTTGAGTGTAAATATTTTAGCATCTATTGATTTTTGTCTGAATCACCTGTTTTATGAGGTTACAAAATGGTAATATTTCTAATTTGGTCATTTCTACATTTATTAACTGGAGTTCTTCTGTAAAGAGGACTTTACGTCATCAATTAGGTTATGTAAAATATAGTTCTTACTATATTTATTACTAATTAAGGGTAAGCATTTCAGTTTTTTTCTTTACCGATTTTCAGGAAGGGGTTGGCGTAATCCTGACAAAGAAGTCTATACTTCTTGTTTCCCTTGACCTCAGAGGTAGAGGGCCTATTTGTCTGTCTTTTGAGGGTAAATTCGTACACACACACACACGTTTTTCCGTGTGACTAATAGCAGTCGTTTTTCTTTTTGATACCCAGTTCAGCAAGTTTTGGATAGTGGTCCTTATGGTTTTATTTGCCTTTCTTTAATAATTAAGGTTGTGTTTATTTTCATATGTTTAAGGAGTATTGGTATTTCCTTTTCCGGGAACTGTCTGTTTACATCTTTTGGCAATACATTTTAATTTTTAACTTTATTGTATACAGTTGGATTGAGCCTTAGAAGTTTAATTTAGTTTAAGCCGGGCGTGGTGGCTCACGCCTGTAATCCCAGCACTTTGGGAGACTGAGGCGGGTGGATTACCTGAAGTCAGCAGTTCAAGACCAGCCTGGTCAACATGGTGAAACCCCGTCTCTACTAAAAATACAAAAAATTAGCTGGGCATGGTGGCGGGCGCCTGTAATCCCAGCTACTTGGGAGGCCGAGGCAAGAGAATCGCTTGAACCTGGGAGGTGGAGGTTGTGGGGAACTGAGATCCGTGCCATTGCGCCCCAGCCTGGACAACAAGAGCAAGACTCTGTCTCAAAAAAAAAAATAAGTTTAACTTAGTTTATAATTAATCTGATGGCTTGGATTAGATGTATTTTATATTGAAGTGGTTACTTATTCTTGCTTCTGAGATCCTTGGAAAATTAAAGGTGGCTGTGGATTGGTGGGAAAGGTCATACTGGAGATGAGCTATGGCATCAACAAATTTTGAAATCATTTCCTTAATCCTTGCAGAATTATCATTGAGTACTGCTGCTCATGTGATAGTGATACGACTTAGAGGAAGAAAGGCAAAATGGAGAGCATGATTTATCATCCAAAATAATTTTTCTTTTCACTTATGTAAATTCTAATGTAATTTATAAAGCTATTCCAAATTACAGTATATGGTTTTTACACTGAAATATACTAAAGTAGACTTTCCTAAATAGAGGTATGTACCATGTTTAAGGAATAAGGAGACTGCTGTTAAAATGTCACTTCTTTTCAAATTGACCTATAGATTGAAGACAATTTGAATTAAAATTCGAAAGCCTTGTTTTGGAAGATTGGGGGATCTTGATAAGTTTATTCCGAACTGTGTATGAAAAAGAATAAAGAACAAGAATAACTGAAATACTTA